GACTAGAATTTCTTTATTTTTAATGTTATTTATTTTTTAAAGAATTATCTTATTTAACTTTATTTATGTATTTATTTATTTCAATTTGACCAGAGTGGGACAGAGTGAGAGGAAGAGAGAGAGGGGGGAAAAGTGAGAAAGCTAGCCACCAGGTCCAGGACTCGAACCGCAGTCGGCCATGTGGGAGTCCAGCGCCCTTAAACACCACACCACCTGCTGGCCCCTAATGTTATTTATTTTATTGTTTCTCAAATTATCTTGGGTGATGGATCAGTTTTTTGTTTTTATTTCCCTCAGCAGCAGACTAATATGTTCGAAAATAAAATAAGATTATTAGATACATTTTTTAAAATGTGCTAAGACAATTGTCCAGGAAATCTTGCTGAGTCCTTTTCTGTGAATTTGCCGTTTAACGCTCTTTTACGTTTTCTTCAAATGAAGCACCTGTATTGAGCCAGATACATTTAGACTCTCGACAGATGCTTTAGAATCTAAAATGGAGAGGATAAAGATATCACACAGGCCTGGAATGCTGAAATTGGAGCACGGAAGAAAAGAAAATCGAGTTACCAGACATGGAAAAGGGGAACACCAGAAAACTAGGATAATGACAAAATGTCCTCAAGCGACGAAGTCTGAAAACAACCAGCTTAAGAATGGAATACACCCTACCCTAGCATATTTCTTGCCATATGAAATGGTCTACCAGAATCAAAAGGAGGGAACACAGTGATCTTACTCATAGGCCTGCCACTCTCCAGAATGCTCTTTGGGTTCATCATTTTGAGGAAGAACTCTGCTAGCATCAGAGTTGGGAAATGAAAGCAAATTAATTTTAGCTATGGCGAGATCATCTATTCCATTTGTTCCTATTATCCAAGAACAACTAATTTGCCCAGATTATATCTGAAATATTCTCTAAACCTTCAAGCTTTGTGGGAGTAAACTCAGGAGGGCCTATTTCAGACAGATCTCCTTGAAAAGCCATAGTACATATTAACTTTTGCTGAGATGCCGTCTAAAAGGGTCACTCTTTTGGACCAGTTTTCCCATAATCAAAGACACAAAGAGACAGAGACAGAAGGAGAGACGGAGTATCAGAGCCACACAGAAAAAGAGCACATTATGCCTGCTGTGTTTTCATTTAGAAGAATTACCTGCTCGTTGTCCTTTTCTGTTTTTAATTGCTAGAGGGTACAGTGCTCACCAGAGAGAGACAGAGACAAAGAGAAGGAGAGGGATGCACCCCCCACAGTGGGGAGTGGTTGCATCACAATCCTTTTTCTTCAGATTCTCATCTCAGAGACTTTGCCCTTGCAGTTCCCTCTGCCTGGAACTCTGTCCAGCTCTTCAAATGCTGCTGAAAGGCCACCTTTCAGAATCAAGGGTAACCTCTAAACTTGGGCAATGCAGACATTATTGGTCCTGCTGACAGATGTGATCTCAGGGACTTCGTGAAGACAGAAGCCCCAACTGCAGAGGGTAGAGAAGATCCAACATAGGATATATTAGCAGTTGGTAGCTACAAAAACTTTGCCATGAAGGGAAGCATAAAAATAAGCTAATAGTGGGGCCAGCATGGTGGGTAAGACACTGGATTCCCACATAGTTGACCATGGTTTGAGTTCTGGACCTGGTGACTTGAAAATCATGCTGGAGGTCATTGCCATATGCACTCTACACTCAGTTGCTCACTTGCCGCCAACAGGCTGCCTTACCACGTGCATGCCCTGCCACCACTCTACAGAAATATGTCAGTTAGCCACAGTCCTTCCCCAGATGAGGTCCGTGTCCAAGGTACTGGCTTCTCATCTCACTCGGACTTATGCCAAAGATGTAAAATTTGGTGGGGATGCTCAAGCCTTAATGCTTCTAGGTATACCCATTTTAGCTGATGCTATAGCCATTACAATGAGGCCAAAGGGAAGAACAGTAATCGTTGAACAGAGTTGGTGAAGTCCCAAAGTAACAAAAGATGTTATGAGGGACCAGCAGTTAGAGTAATGGCTATGTCGCTGGACTCCCATGTAGTCCACCACAGTTCAAGTCCCGGACCCAGTGGCTTAAATTCACACCGGGCACATGTGCATGCTGCCCAAGATCCCGAGAGGAGAATGGAGGAGAAGCGATTGCTGCGTGGCCATCCTCCCGGGGGGTGATTTCTCGCTTTCTGTCTCTCTGTCTCTCTCTGTCTTTCTGGTGAGCGCACTTGCTCTATAGCAAAAACCTCTCCCCCCAAAAAATAAATAAATAAAAAAGATGGTATGATTGTTGCAAAATAAATTGATTTAAAGGATAAATATAAAAATATAGGACCTAAACTTGTTTAAGATGTTGCCAATAACACAAATGAAGGGGCCAGGGATGGTACCACCACTGCTACTGTACTGGCACGTTCTATTGCCAAGGAAGACTTCGAGAAGATTAGTGAAGGTGCTAATCCAGTGGAAATCAGGAGAGGTGTGATGTTAGTTGATGCTGTAATTGCTGAACTAAAGAAACTGTTTAGACCTGTGACCACTCCCAAAGAAATTGCTCAGGTTGCTACAATTTCTGCAAATGGAGACAAAGAAATTGATATTATTATTTATTTCAAATGCCATGAAAAAGGTCAGAAGGAAGGGTGTCATCACAGAAAAGGATGAAAAAACACTGAATAATGAATTGGAATTATTGAAGGCATGAAGTTTGAGCAAAACTATATTTCTCCATAGCTTATTAATACATCAAAAGGTCAGAAATGTGAATTCCAGGATGCCTATGTTCTGTCAAGTGAAAAGAAATTTTCTAGTGTCCAGTCCATTGTACCTGCTCTTGAAATCGCCAATGCTCACTGTAAGCCCTTGGTACTAGTTGCTGAAGATGTGGATGGAGAAGCTCTAAGTATATTCATTTTGAATAGGCTAAAAATTGGTCTTCAGGTCGTAGCAGTAAAAGGTCCAGGTTTTGGTGACAATTTAAAGAACTGGCTTAAAGATATGGCTATTGCTACAGGTGGTGCAGTGTTTGGAGAAAAGGGGTTGACCCTCAACATTGAGGATGTTCAGCCTCATGGCTTAGGAAAAGTTGGAGAGGTCGTTGTGACCAAAGATGATGCCATGCTCTTGAAAGGAAAAGATGACAAGGCTCGAATTGAAAAATGTATTCAAGAAATCATGGAGCAGTTAGGTGTCACAACAAGTGAATATGAAAAGGAAAGACTGAACACACATCTGACAAAACTTTCAGATGGAGTAGCTGTGCTGAAGATTGGTTAGATCAGTGAGGTCTAAGTGAACGAAGAGAAAGACAGTTACAGATGCCTTCAATGTTACACAGCTGCTGTTGAAGAAGACATTGTTCTAGGAAAGGGCCATGCCCTGCTTCAGTGCATTCTAGCCTTGGACTCACTGACTTCAGCTAATGAAGATCAAAATATTGGTATAGAAAGTATTAAAAGAACACTCGAAATTCCTGCAATGACCATTGCTAAGAATGCAGATGTTGAAGGATCTTTGAGAGTTGAGAAAATTATGCAAAGTTCTTCAGAAGTTGGTTATGATGCCATGCTTGGAGATTTTGTGAATATGGTGGAAAGAGGAATCGTTGACCTAACAAAGGTTATAAGAACTGTTTTGTTGGATGCTGCTGGAGTGGCCTCTCTGTTAACTACAGCGGAAGTTGTAGTCACAGAAATCCCCAAAGAAGAGAAGGAGCCTGGAATGGGCGGGAGGTGGTATGGGAGGTGGTATGGGAGGAGGCATGTTCTAACTTCTAGAATAGTGCTTTACCATTATTCATGAACTGTGACAGAATGCTCAAGGCAGTGTTCTTCACCAGATAACTTCAGAGAAGTCATCTGAATAAAATAAAAGTGAATAAAAGGCTAGCTGATGCTTAAGAAAATCTCCATAACCATCAGTTACTAGTTTCAGTTGACAACAGACAATGGTTTACCACTATCCATACCTATAAACACTTGATTTTGTATCTTTGAATAAAAAAGACATTTTTACATTCCTGATACTGGGTGCAAGAGCTATGATCCAGTGTACTCCTTTCAACTTAAATCACTGAGGCATTTTTACTACGATTCAGTTGAAATCAGAATTCTAGTGCTTGCGATCACCAGATGAGAAGTTAAGAAGCAGCCTTTCTGTGGAGTGTAAGAATAATTGTGTACAAAGGAGAGAAATATCCAATTATGTGAAAACCTTTGTGTAATAAAAATTTGTTTAAAGTGAAAAAAGAAAGAAAGAAAGAAAATCATGCTGGGCGTGCGTGTGTGTGTGTGTGTGTGTGTGTGCCCAAAATCCTGAGAGGAGAATTCAGGAGGAGGGATTGCGGTGTGGCCACCACCCCCCAGGGGATGATTTCCCACTTCCCCTCTCTCTGGCTCTCTCTGGTGAACTCACACACCCTATGACAGAAACCTTAAAAAATAAATAAATAAAAAGCTAATGGCAGGAGACAGATGTGGGTTCAAGGAGGGTTTCTTTGCTTCTATTTGAGGTAAGAGATAAGAGCACGTCTGTGTATGGACGGGAAGGACACAGGCCTCTGGCACAGGGCCCAGGTTCAGGGAGAAGAAGGGATAATTGCTAGGAAGAGTCGTTTTGGAGAGAAACATGGGGAACACTGGATCTGAGAGGAAAGTGTTGTAGAACTGCCAGGTAACACTGAACACGTTCAATAAATTAATTATTCATAAAATCCTATGAGGTACATATGACTATTCTGATCTTATAGATGAAGAACCTAAAGAACCCAAATGTACAGTAACTTGCCCCAGATTACACTGTAACCAAAGGAAGGAGTTGGGATTCGAAGAGAGATTCTGACTCCTGGTTAACTACCATGAGCTCCACATGTACGATTATGAGGGATGAAAAGTCAGGGCCTAAACCAATGCAAATTCTGAGATTATCAGAGAGACACTTAAAACCCAACACTCACAATCCAGTGCTTGAGAAATGGAATCGTTCCAATGGTTTACAAATGGGGAAGATACCAAGGTTTTATTTAGTTGACAAAAAAATGCATCTGTTGGGAATGTTCTATTTCTCGTCTGGGAGGTGGACGCTTGACAGTTTGCTTTAAGCCAAATCACCGAGTGGCATTTTGATTTCGTATGTTTTTCCGTGTGTGTTACATTTCACAACCAAGTTTTAAAAATAAACCTGAGCTGCCTTGTTGGTGGTAAATAATATGTGACCATTCCCCTTCAAAATGTGGCCTAATTTAGTAGTTCCCAACCTAACTGGTCATCAGAACCACCTGGAAGCATTTCTAAAATGAAGATTCTGACCCAAGGCTCAGACTTGCTTGGCACAGGGCCCAGAACTTGTCATCAGAGAGCTCCCAGCACCTCTCAGACTCAGCCAAGTTTGGGAACTGCTGGCCTCAAATACACTCATTCAGTTAAAATTAATGTTTTCTGAAATGTTGTTTCCTATGGCCTGTGGAGATGCTCAAAATATGCCACATACAACTGGTTGAGTCAACAATTTGTTCTCTTTTCTCATCCCACAGTCTGAACCTAAGCCCATCCATTTGTTGGCTTCCTTCTTGTACTTCCATTGCTTCATCCTAAGGAAACAAGAAAATATATGTAAATACAATAAGTATCCAGGACTCAAACCATGTTCAACCATATGGGAATCCAATGTTTTAACCACCATGCCATCAGCTTATGTTTCTGTTTTATAAGAAAACCCCTTTATGGGGACCAGCAGATGGCATAATGGCTACATTGCTGGACTCTCGCATAGTCGACCACGGTTCGAGTCCCAAACCCAGTAGCTTAAACTCACGCCAGGCACACGTGCGTGTATGCCCAAGATTCTGAAAGGAGAATGGAGGAGAAGAGATTGTGGCATGGCCACCCATCCCCTCTGGGGGGTGATTTCTTGCTTTCCGTCTCTTTGTCTCTCTCTGTCTTTCTGGAGAGCCCCTGGGCCCTAAAGCAAAAACCCCTCAAAAAAAAAAAAAAAAAAAAAAGAAAGAAAGAAAGAAAAGAAAAAGAAAACCCTTTAGCTTCAACACCAAATCATTGCATTGATCACTGGGTCAGAGAGTGGTACAGCAGTAAAACGTGATGCTCTGGGAGGCAATCCCACATGGGAAGGTTCCCGTTCAAGGTCAAGGTTCAGGGTTCCCTGAGTCTGCTGGGCACCTGCTTACCCGTGATCCAGGGCTTACAAAAGGCTGAGGTTGGCTCATGGCATGAGCACCGTATTAGGAGTGCGTGCTCTCTCTGTTTCTGTAGCTCATGGAAGAAAGAAATTTAAAAGCCAAAACAGCAAAACTGATGAAATCTCTTCCTTCCCTTTAGAGTTCCTCTCTCTTGATACCTTCTGGAGAAAGATCTTGTGCTACCTTGACAAGAGGGCTTTATAGTGAGGCCTGGGTGGAGGCGTGCACGCCGCGGGGGACGGACAAGGTCTCTTGACTGAAATGAAAGTAGTAGCCGAGGCTGTCCACCTGCAGACGGCCACTGCGGTGCCTGGGTCAGGAAAGGAGGATTCTCCACACTCGGCTCTACTCTACAGCCATGGAAAAACCCGAGTGAGCACCGCTGCTCCTGAAAAGGAAGATCAGCAGAGTTCCGATGTGGACCCACATTTCAGGAGCAGGTGAGAGCTGAGGTGGACTGAGCCTGTGTCAACCACCCAGCACCTGGCAGCCTTAAAAAAAAACCAGTGCTGAGTCTCACTTCCCTCATTCTCTAACCTAGAAAGAGCAAGACCGAAACACAGCCCCATTTATTGCCCTTCTCCGACAAGGAAGGAGAAAGGGGCAGGAGTTCAGGACTTGCTTTGCAATTTGAATCTCAGGAATGCACACGAAACAGCAGTCACCGCCTCGGAGCAAAGATGCTCTGCTGAAATTTGACTCATCCTCGGCAGTTTATTGTGTTTGCCCCCTCCTTCCTTGTGACACAGAGGAGTGAGGTGAGTAATGCTCTGCGCAGCGAGAGAAAAATAGATCCCCAAATGCCTTCCATTATGCTGAAGGCCTGTGTCACCAGCTGTGGCGGCAGGGGGTGTGGTCACCACCCATTAGCAGGGAAGGATTCAGAACATCTGACTCCCTCTCTCCGAGGCTATTTGTGGTTCTAAAGGCCAAGGAGCAGGGGCTGGAAACTGATAAACACAGAAAAGGCGGAGCGCCCTGCTGGGGGTCTTAGGAGAGCCAGGACAGTCATGGCCCTTCTGTGCAGGAGTTCCCAAGGCTACACTGAAGAAAAAAGGTCAGACCCTTTTGCTGCTGCCTAACAGTAGGTAGAATCACCTCTTCTCCCCAAGAGCAAACAGAGCTCATTTTTAGTGAGTGCCTGTTACATGCCAGGCACCAAGCAAAACACTTTCCATGGTTTGGATTATCTAGTTCACATGTGTGTACGAGCATGCATGTCCACACACACACACACACACACGCACGCACGCACATGCACACACCTTGACGGGGGTGCTATCAGTATCTCCTTCTCAGATGAGGAAACTTAGGCTCAGGAAGGTTCAAGAATGTGGGCAGGGTTCCCAGGCTAATGTAGGACACAGATCAGTACTCAGAAGACGGTGCTACATAAACAGCATTCTAGAACATCTACTAGGCTAAATGTAGCTATCTGAACAATGAACAAGAAAATTATAGGGAAATGTTCCTGTTGCTTCATGTATTTTGCTTTATATACTATCCAAGTTTTATCCCTAAGATAGGGCTACTGATTGATAAACCTAGACTTTTTTTAAAAAAGAATTATTTATTTATGATTATTCTTAATTTGACCAGAGAGAGCGAGAGAAAGTGAGAAAGCAAGCCACCAGGTCCAGGACTCAAACCATAGTTGGCCATGTGGGAGTCCAATGCCTTAACACCATGCCACCTGCTAGCCCCAATAACCCTAGAGTTTTTAAAAGTCTTTCTCTTTACCTACTAGAAGGAGGAAATAAGGATGTGGTCATTGCCAGAATTAGAGTCCTGTTAATAAAGCAGCAGCAGCTACAAATCACAGGTAGTTACTGAGAAACTTCTAACTCCCTTAGAGAAAGTTTAAAAAAAAAAAATTAAAAGCCTCCATTTTCCCTTATGCAGTTTATTTTTTTTTAAATTAAGTTCCAATCTATCAGAAACATATTTTCCCCTTCTGGAATTGACCACATTATCCTCCCACCCAGCTGGAACTACGCTAGGGAGAAAAAGAAATGTTTGTCTCAATGGCATTTTCTTATTCAGCTAATTGATTTTTTAAAATAACAATAATGCTTGAACATCCAGCCACCTAATTACCAGCAGCTTTGTGTTTGCACTATCATTAACTTCACAGCTGCCTTGTTGGTGACAAGCGGTACCACAGAGACATCAGCTGCAACGGTTAGCTTCTGAAAGGAGGAACATGAAAAAAGCCCAACTCCCCCTTGGCCAAGGTCAGCGTGGGCCTCAGGCTGATTTCAACAGCCCAGTGCCAGCTCCCCGAGTACAAAACTGCATGTGAAAACATGATGCCGAGCGGAGGGGACCTTGAGGGCATCTGGCTCAATCCTCTCTGCAGACGGATGAGAAAATTTGAGGTTCAGAGAGATTAGGGGACTTGCCTAAGATCACACAGTAGTTACCTTCAATGCTAACTGATGCCCAGGTCTCCTAGTTTTTCAGTGAATTTAAAAAAACAATGTTCAATTAAAGCATACGTACAGAAAAGTATACATAAGTATACAGCTTAAATAACTATTTTAAAAATAATTATTTAATTTTATTTATTATTATTGTTTTAATTTTACTATAGCACACATGTGCTCACCAAAGAGACAGAGAAAGGAAAGGTGAGAAAGCAAGCTGCCAGGTCTGGGACCAGAACCATGGTCCGCCATGTGGGAATCCACTGCCTTAACCATGCCACCTGCTGGCCCCTAAAGTAACTATCTTTTTTTATTTTTAAAGAATTATTTTATTTAACTTTATTATTTATTTACTTACTTTTTTATTTTGACCAGAGAGGGACAGAGTGAGAGAGAGAAGGACAGTAAGAAAGCAAGCCACCAGGTCTGGAACTCGAACCGTGGTCAGCCTTGTGGGAGTCCAGTGCCCTTAACCTCCATGCCATCTGCTGGCCCCCTTAAGTAACTATCTTTAACTGAACACATTCATAAAACTACCACCCAGGTCAAGGAATAGACCATCTCCAGCAACATAGAAGCTTCCTGAGGTTTCTCTTCCATTCACTATAAATTCTCTCCTCCTCAAAGGAAACTGCTAATCCTGATTTCAAATACCATCAATTAGTTTGGTTTGGCCAATGTTTCTTATATAAAAAATGGTTTTATATGAAACTCGTCTACAAAATAAATGTTCTTTTTTTATGATGTATATCAAATATTAATAGTGTATATAAATACATATATATGTGTGTATATATATGTATATGTGTGTGTGTGTGTATATATATATATGTAGACTAGAGAGATTTTTGCTATAGGATGTATGTGCTTGCCAGAGAGACAAAAAGCGAGAACTCATGCCTCAGGTGGGATGGCCACACAGCAATCCCTTCTTCTCCATTCTCCTCTCGAGATTTTGGGCATGTACACATAAGCACCCAGCATGAGTTTTAAGTCTCCAGGTATGGGGTTCAAACTGTGGTCGACTATGTGGGAGTTCAATGACATAACCATTACACCATCTGCTGGTCCCAAATATTAATAGTATATTAATAAAGCATATCTCAAAAGGAAATCCCATGTTCAAAGAAAATGGAGTCTCCTAGGGTGATGAAAATGTTTGGAACTAATTAGAGGTGGTAATTGCACGACATATGAATGCCCTAAATGTATAAAATTGTTTATTTTAAATTATTAATTCTATGTTACGGGAATTTTAACTAAAAAAAAATTAATCACTTAAGATATGTGCATCTCATTTGTATATAAGTTGAAACTGAAAATAAACTAAAAATATTTCACTTGTTTTTAAAAGAAGCATATCCCTATATTTATATATATATATGTATATATATATATATATATGCCCTGTTCATCACTACATCCCCCGTATCTACATCATCCCCAGTGCCTGATCAGGAAACCCTCCATTGCCACTGGGTGCTTTCTTCTGGCCCTTTTCTTGTACTATAGCAGAACTTTTGTCCGCATCCCTCCACTGAAAGGTCCCTTATGAGAGCCATTTTGCCAAAGCCAATGGTCAGTTCTCTGTTCTCATCTCAGTCTATCTGTGGGCAGCATTCGACCTAGAGAATAGTTCTCCCGTTCTCATCTAGGCTCGCAACGCCGTATTTGTCTAGCTTTCTTTCTGCGTCATCCTCCTTTGCTCTTTCTCCTCTTATCCGAATGGTGCAGAGCCCAGGGCTGTTTGACCTTCCCCCTCTCTTCTTTAGCTTGGCAACCTTATCCAATTCATCTGTATGACTGTGGCCTACAAATATGTATCTCCCTGAGCTCCAGGCTGTTCTACTCTCCTGTGCACTTGACATCTCCTCTTGGATGTCCCACACAACTGGACAGAGTGTGGATTCCACATTCTCCCTTGCTAGGCTTTCTCACTGGAAATGACACCATCATTCACTGAATTGCTCAGACCAAAACTTAGTCACTGAGCACAAACCATCTCTTTTCCTCACACACATTTTTTTTCTTTTTTTTTTTAACTAATGAGATCATTGTACATATTGTGTGTATGTGGGGGGAGGTATAACGTGATTTTTCAGTACATGAACACAATGTGTAATGATTAAACCAGGGTAATTAGTATACTCATCTCAACCATTTGTCATGACTTTGTGTTGGAAACATTCACAATTCTATTTTTTAAGCTACTCCAGGATATACAGTAATTTGTTGTTAACCACATTCTTCCTGGTTTGTTTTTATAAAACTAGACATTGTTCCTCTTATCTATCTGTAATCTTGTTTCAATTAATGGACATTCCTCTATCCACCCCACATCATTCCCAGCCTCTGCTCTACTTCTGTAAAGTCATGTTTTCCATTTCACCATATGAGAGGGAACATGTGACATTTTCTTTCTGTGTCTGACTTATTTCACTTAATGTAATGTTCTCCAGGCTTTCCCATTTAACCTCAAACAACAGGATTTCATCCTTTTTAATGGCTAGATAGTACTCCATTGTGTGTGTGTATCGCATTTTCTTTATCCATACATTAGTTGATGGACACACAGGTTGACTCCATATTTGGCTATAAATATGGTTTATTTTGTGCTATGGTAATATTAACTCAGTAAAAATAGACTCATCATTTAAGATATGTGAATGTCACTATATGTACATTTATTTATTTTAATTATTTTATTTATTATTATTATTATTTAATTAGACCAGAGAGACATAGAAAGATCAAACACGAGAAAGCAAGCTACCAGGTCGGGGACTTGAACCATGGTCAGCCAGCCCCTTAATCACTATGCCACCTACCAACCCAATTGTATGTAAATTTAAACTAAAAATAAATAAACTGTAAAAATATTCAACTCATTAAAAAAAGTATACCCCTAACAAGTGCTCAGCAATACAAACACACATGTATCTTTACAACATACTGATTTTTTTTCCTTTGGAAATAGTAATGAGTTTGTTAGATCGTATTTTTAGTTAGTTTGTTTGTTTTTTGAGAGGATTTTTGCTACAGGGCGTGTGCGCTCGCCAGAGAGACAGAGAGACAGAAAGCGAGAAATCACCTCCCAGGGGGGATGGCCACACCTCAATCCCTTCTCTTCCATTCTCCTCTCAGGATCTTGGGCAGGCATGCACACACGCCCGGCGTGAGTTTAAGCTACCAGTCCAGGACTTGAACCACGGTCGACTACATGGGAGTTCAGCGACATAGCCATTACGATAACTGCTGGTCCCATCTTATTTTTAGTTTTTTAAGAAACCTCTATGCTGCTTTCCATAATGGCTGTGCTCACTTACACCCCTGCTAACAATGTAAAAGCACACCCCTTCTGCTGCATCCTCACCAGCATTTGCGGATCCTTGCCCGTCACACCTCAGGTTGAACTCACAGCACGTGTTATCGGCTCTGTATATTCAGTGCAGCCACCTCTCCTTCTATCTCTACTGCTCCAACTCTCGTCTGGGGCCAACATTTCTTGCCTTAACTACTGCATTATCTTCTAATAATTCTTACTTCCCTCTTGCCTTCTTTCGGTCCTACCTTTGCCCAACTGGAAAATGTGTTGAAAGGGTAACTTGGGTCTCATCAACACCCCTGTGAGTGTCCACTGCACTCAGAATAAAATCCAAACTCACACAGTCAAAGGGACTACCCCAGGTTACCTCTCCAGCCTCATCTCTCTCTACTCACCTTTTGACGATATTCCAGCCACACTCACTTGCTTTTTGTCTCCTGAACAGGCCAGTCCTGTTTCTGTCTTTACACAGGCTCTTCTCTCTACTCAGACTGCTCTTCCCCAACCTCTGAATAGCTGCCTCTTCTTATGGTATCTTCACGACCTCAACTTACATGTTGCCTCCTCTGAAAAAGCAACCCTGCTTTGAGAGCAGGTGTCTATTTTATCTTCTTGCTAGCTTCCATTTATACCTCACCTTGTCTTATGCACATGCTGTTGACTTGTCTTCTCCTGCTGCTGGAGTGTAAGTTCCCTGAGGTCAATGACTCCTATTCATGGCGGTATCTTCAGGGTTTAGAATAGTATTTGTCCATTGAAAGCTCTACATAAGCATAAGTTGACTGGCTGGATCTCATCAACTTTATCTGAGAAAATGGGAAAGCAAAGTTATTTATGACCATCTGGTCTCCATTACTTATCATTTTAGGATGCCAAGTTAAAAGTAATGGAAACGGGGACCAGCAGTTGGCATAATAGTGATGTCACTGGACTCCCATGTAGTAGACCGTGGTTCAAGTCCCGGACCCGGTGGCTTAAACTCACACCAGGTGCACATGCGTGCCCAAGATCCCAAGAGGAGAATGGAGGAGAAGGGATTGCGGCGTGGCCATCCCCCCGGAGGGCCATTTCTCGCTTTCTGTCTCTCTGTCTGTCTCTGTCTTTCTGGCGAGCGCATGCGCCCTATAGCAAACACCTCTCCAAAAAAAAAAGTAATGGAAACCAAGTTGAGACCATCTTAGGCAATAGCAACAAAGAGTAAGAGTTGGCCTCTCTTCAGACACAGCTAGTACCAGAGACCCAAATGATATCGTCAGCATATATTGTCTTTTAATCTACCCCCACCCCCACATTCCAGCCCTGCATTCATCTGGGTTGTTTCCTTTGCTGGCAGGCTTCTCCATGCAGTGGCTCCTACTATCTCTGGGCTTATGTTCTACATTATACAGCTCAGCAATCTGAGCAGAAAGAGAATGGCCCTTCCCAGTAGTTTCAGCAAAAATCTCCTAATTGGGACCAGCAGATGGTGGAATGGTCTCGTTGCTGGACTCCTATGGAGTCAAACGTTGTTCAAGTCCCAGACCTGGAGGCTTAAAACTCACCCCAGACGAACCAGCAGTTAGTGTAATGGCTATGTCGCTGGACTCCCATGTAGTCGACCACGGGTTGAGTCCCGGACCCATTGGCTTAAACTCACGCCGGGTGCGTGTGCATGGGTGCCCAAGATCCCAAGAGGAGAACGGAGAAGGGATTGAGGCGTGGCCATCCCCCTGGGAGGTAATTTCTCACTTTCTGTCTCTCTGTCTCTGTCTTTCTGTTGAATGCATGCACCCTATAGCAAAACCTCTCCAAAAAAATAAATTAACTCATGCCAGGCATGTGTGCATGTGTGCTCAAAATCCAAAGAGAAGACTGGAGGGTAAGGGATTGTGGCATGGACATCCCCGGGGGGGGGGGTAAGTGATTTCTCATTTTCTGTCTGTCTCTGTCTCTCCAGTGAGTGCACACATCCTATAACAAAAATCTTCCTCAAAAAAAAAAAAAATCTCAGAATTGACTTTCATTGGATCTGCTTGGTTTATGTGCCCATCCCTGAACCAATCACTGTGTCTGGAGGGATGGGATATGCTAATTAGCCGAGCCAGGTCACTTGCCCATTAGAGTGTTACTGGGAGTTGGCATCACCTGCACCACATGGTCTGAGAGCAGAGAAGGACTGGGCTCCCAAAGAAAAATACAATGCTCTAATCATAGGAAGAGATGAAAAAAAAAAAAAGTCCATTCCAATTATCTTTTTGTTTTGGGAACTAAAGTGTATTGTGAAACATTTGCCAGTTCCAGAGAACCTGTAATTTTAGAGTTTATGAATGAAGGACTATCTGACTGCTGCCATCTCACAGCCCGGCCTGGTGACCTCACTCACCCACTGAACATTAATTGCACTAACCATGTGTCACATTTCACAAGGCCTGTAGGACACCTCCTACTCAGGAAGGGTCACCCTTTATCAGTCTTCTTTCTGTCAGCTGGTGATGAGTTCTATTACTAAGGACTGACCCCAGGACCTTAGGGTCAAAGTCTTGCTTCTTGTTATTCTAGTGTCCAGACTTTAGCATTCCTGAGCCCTGCTGCACAAATCCCTACATCCTCTAGGTCCAGAGAGTTTGGTTTTGTCTTGCATCATCATTGATCTTTCTGATTTTACTCCTTACCTCGTTTTTTGGGACTATTTCCTATCCCACCCCTTGGAATTTGCTCTCTGGCCTATCTGGTTGAATCACTGGACCTGCTCATATCCACACTCTACCTTCATTTCAGTCATTTCACTGGCCAGGTGATTCCTCCCTTAATCCCTGGGTGGATGCAGTTACCCTAGCTGGTTTTCACTTCCCCAGAGAACTAATGGGATCAACCTATCACTCGTGGAAAGAACACATTCATGCAGCCTTACAAGAGAGTATATCCAAATCGAAGATATTTCTAAGGAAAGTGATTTCCTAGTTTAGACTGGCACTGGACAATCTTCAAATCAGAGGCATCCTGCCCTTGCCAGCTTTCATGCAGATGGAAGACCTGGCCATGACCAGATCACTATGTCTCATGAGTTCTTGATACAAACTCAAATGTTGACATTCAACGAGTCCTCATTTTCCTCTCCTTCCCATTTCATCATCTATTAAAATCAGGTTTCCCTAACTCTTTCAGATTGATACTCTCCACTGGGTCACCTTTATTATGCTCTGGGGCTAAGATGTGGAACAAAAGCACTAAACATTTCCCTCTGAGTCATAAACTTGGGGACAAAGCTTTCTTCATGATCCCACTTGTCATTTTCCTTTTCTTTAACTGCAGAGAGGCAGGCACTCTGGTGGTCAGGTGAATTCCTAAGCAGTGAACCTTTGGCACAAGGGCTCCAACTACTTAGGATGGTTAAATCTGTCTAATTGCACAAGTGGAAATGTAAAGCTTATTTCTCTAGAGAAGCTGCTAACCTGATTCACAAATGCAGTTTTATCCCCACTAGATATATAAAATCCGTGAGGATGGGGATTTGGTTTAGTTACTACTTTATCATCATTACTCAGCATATGTAAATACTCAATGACTGTAAATTCAGCCATTCATTCAACAAATGTTTATTGAAGCAGTTACTAAAGAAGGTGACACTTGGGATAGAAGAAATGAAGACAAATGTGGCCAGGAGAAAATTTCATCCACAAGTAACAGAACTGCCTTAAACAACTTGGCATTTATCCGTGCTCATAGGGAAGTCCAATTTAGTTCCACTCATGTTTGCTCCATCTACCGTCAAGAACCCAGGTTTCTTCATGGCATCATCCTAAGACTTATTCCCTTTGGGGGAGGGGGAGAGAAGAGGAGAGAAAGATCATAGTGGGGCTGTCAGGAACAACTAAGGCAATGGTAGGAGAGAAAATGGACTTCCTGCAGAGGAAGACTCTTCCCTGAAGCCACCAACACTCCTCTTGTATCTCAATGGCCAGAACTGGGTCACATGTCCATTCCTGAATCACAGATTTAGCCTCAGACCATTGAGACCCTCACCTGACATTAAGTATGGCTTCCCTTGAAGCTGTGTGGAAAAGGAGCAGCCCTCTGAACAGAACCTCTGAAGAAGGGAGTAGGAGCTAGGGGCCTGACTGGGACGAAGGGTAGCACTAGCATTCATGATGAACCATCACCAGCATTTGTCATGACACCCCATGGTTTAAAAAATATCTATGTGGGAACCAGGCAGATAGCCTAATGGTTATGTCACTGGACTCCCACATAATCAACCACTGTTCGAGTCCTGGACCTAGTGGCTTAAAACTCACATTGGGCACATGCACATGCATACCCAAATCCTGAGAGGACAATGGAGAAGGAATTTTGGTGTGGCCATCCTACCTGGGGGGTGATTTCTCATTTTCTTATATATATATATAATAAAAGTATCTATATGAGCTCATTTAATTCTTCTATGACAGGTAAACCATGGTTCTTAAGCCGGGGTTAAGTCAGAATCACCCCACAGACGGTCTAGGTAGAGCTTGGACATTTGTATTCTTTAAATCTTTAAATCTACCCAGGTGATTCTGGTACCCAATCTGCATGGCATACCGGGGCTAAGCGGCACAATCCCATAGGTGCACAAAGAAGAATTCAGCACAGTCCCCATTCTGGGAAGTCTACACTAAATGCTAAATAAGAGGGACCAGAGGTATTGTGGTGGTTAAGGTGCTGGATTCCCATGTTGTCTACAATGGTTCAAATCCTGAACCTGGTGACTTGCTTTCTTGCTTTCTCTCTATATCTATCTATCTCTATGGTAAGCAAGTGTTTACTACAGCAAATTTAATAATGATAATTATTATTAATTAGTTAGATTAATAATTCTTTTTAAAAATGTTAACTAAGAGATTTTGACATAAATACCAGAGTTCAGAGAAGGAAGAGCTTCCACAGGTCAGAATGTGGGGGAAGGTGACTCTGAGGAGATGAGAAGGGAACCAGGCAAGCAACATGGCCAGAAGGGCACAGCATGAACGGGGTGGGAAAAGATGGAACGCTTGTTAAATCCAAGTGTCATCTCAGAGGACAGGCTGATCTCTGGTTGGTTTGCTGTAGCAGTTCACGGGATAGGGAAGTTTTCTCATTTTCAACCACTGACTAGAGAAACTGAGGTTTGTTTCCAGAACTCGGTGAATCAGTGTTATCTGATATTCCTGATACTCTGCTGAAACTATTCACCGAGCTTCCTCTTAGAGTACAAAGGGGATTTTAAGAGGTAATATTGGGGCTTTCACATATTTATGTTTTTAAAACCAGATATACTGGGTGGAAAAACCCGATGAGATCACCCCTGTGTTCTACCTGAGCTAGGCAAGGGATACACAACCTTCTCAGGGCAGGAGGCATTTCAATTCCTCCTCAAAGCAAACAAAGATAAACCCAATCAAAGGGATTAGGAGGAAGGTTGGAAACAACCTGGAGAACAGAGGCAGTTTTTAAATTGGTTGGCAACTGAATTACACTTGAAGATTCAATTAGTGACAGACTCAGAAGAGCGTTTTCTTTAGTGAGTTTCTTAACTACCAGGCAGAGGCTTGGTGGTTGCCGATAGCATAGAAGGTGAGTCATCGGCCTCGGCTGGGACAAATGTCACCCACTCACTGTGATGGATGCGCCCCATGCACAGAAATATGTGGACAGATATTGATTTTTTTTTAAACTCTACCATTACTCACTGTTCCTGACAACTTATTTTCCTTCTTTGGCTTTACCTTCATTGGTGCTATGTCTGCTGCTTCCAAATGGCTTTTTCGTGAACTCTGAAGGGGTCTCCCTTGTGCTAAAGGAGTTTCTT